CGCCGAGCTCTGTACCAGCAGTGCAGACCTCTGGCCCACATGCCGCAGGGGCTGTTTGCATCACTCAAAGCTCTGTTACTGAGTTTTTTCTTTTCTTCTCTTCTCTTTTTTAGAGATAGGGTCTCACAGTGTAGTTGAGGCCAGCCTCAAACTCACAGTGATCTTCCTGTCTCAGCCTCCTGAGTGCTAGGATTATAGGTGTATGCCACCATACCCAGCTTGTGCTTTGCTTTTAATGTATGAGTTTTTTCTAAACTAAAATCCCAGTGTTCAGGTTTAATTATAGTGTTGGCACCTTGTGATGAATAAGTGGGTTTTGGGTTGCAGTTTGGGCACGCGTCTCGAAAAGGTTCGCCATCCCTGATAGTGTTTGGTATACTTTTGCGTTTCGGGTGTTACTTTTGTCAATTCTTCTGTCTGCCTTTGTGCACCTAGAACAACGCTCAACACATATTTTCTCTTGCATGGACCATAGCTTTTAAACTTTCAGACCTGCAGAAAAGCTTGAATGATGATGAAAATAAATTTTAGGGTATTTGCTGTTTGTTGTTTTTTGTTTTGTTTTGTTTTTTGAAACAAGGTCTTCCTATGTAGTTCAGGCTGATCTGGAACTCACTATATAGCCCAGGCTGGCCTCAAACTCTCAGTGATACTCCTGCCTCAGCCTCCTGAGTTCTGGGATTACAGGTGTGCACCACCACGCCCAGCTAGTTATTTGTTGTAAACCCAATTTTTAATGTTTTTTAAAGACTAATAAAGTATGTTAGAAATCACTGGTGTTCATTAAAAGTAAGGTCACACAGGCTTCCCTCAAAACCTGGAGAGGGTTATGTGGTTGTAGAATGACTTAGGATCGAAACTGGGGGACTGTTTCATTGCCAAGGTCTTTGGCTATTTTGAGCAAGTCGTACAAGTGAATCTTAGCACAATGAAGCAGTTTCTGGAGTTAGCGAGGCCTGCAGGACAGGCACTGTTTCCCGAGCAGACAGCAGGTTTGAGTCTGGCAGAGGGGCCCGGAGGGCTCAGAGGAGCAGTCGCTCCAGTCTGTCCAGAGTGAGTGGTGTGCCGGCCCCTGCCCGGGGCCTCTGTCTCGGGAGAGGAGGAGGCCGGCCGGGCACCCCACTGTGAGACAGGGCCTTCTCTGGCGCAGACTCTCAGGGCTGGCGAGGTCCTGGGCTCTCCCTGGTCTGTGCCGCCTGTGGCTGGAGGAGGATTTGTGGGTATTTCCCTGTGAATGCAGAGATGGCATCAGCGCACATGTGAAGCAGCTCTGGAGTTGTCATCGGCGAAACATAATTCACCAGCTTGTATTCCATCTCCGATTTGCAGGAAATTAAAGAAAGTCGTTTACACTCTGGCCTCCAAAGCGCTTCACTGTTAGTAGTTGTGAGGTAGTTTAACTGCTTTAGAACTCTGTGCTCTGAACACCCCTGTCCCCCCAGGCATGGGCACCAAGAGTGAGGAGCATGGGTTCCTTCGTATCTGTCACACCCAAGAGTAACAGTTCCAAGACAGGGGCCACCTCTGCATGGTGTGTACCCCAGGTCGCTGTCATTGCTTAGAAGCAGAAGAGAGGTTGCCCAATCACGACGGTGAGTTGTATGTCTGTTTTTGGAGACAGGGTCTTGCTATGTAGTTCAGCCTGTCCTTGAACTCACTATGTAGCTCTGGCTGACCTTGAACTTGTGGCAGTCCTCCTGCCTCAGCCTCCTATGTGCCGGGGTTACAGGCGTGTTCCATCATGCCTGGCTGTACTTAAAAATAGACCAAAAAATAGACTAAAGCAGGTCCAGCTTTAGTCCTCAGTGCTGATGGTTTTTGTAGCTTACAAGACCACAGCCACCCCTCTTCCATGTCCCCACAGACTCAAACTGTCCAGCCAGCTTCCTCTTGGCCAATTTGTCTTTGACTTTTATGAGCCATTAAAATTTTTCTTCTACTAATTCATTTATCATCACCATTGTGTAGATTTTATACACAAGTTTTTGTTTGTTTGTTTGTTTGTTGTTTCTGTGTGTGTTTGGTACCGGAGATCAAACTCAGGACCTTGCATTTACCAGGCAATCCTTGCACCGCTGAGCTACATCCCAGGTCCACTAGTTTTTTATTAGATATTTGAAAGAATTTCTCTTTTTGTCCTGTACCTTTTCGGGCCTGTAGATGTGGCTGAAGAATCAGAGTGTCATCAGCTCATATTTTGCACGATGAGTGCTGGCTTAGCAGTTTGACTTCTCCAAGTGGTTCTGCATTCGAACTCTTAATTTATTTTTTTATTTACTTTTTAGAAAAGCCCCTCGTGGTACTTCAAAACCCACTGAGCATTTTGGGGAAGAGATGTCTATTAACTTTATAAAGAGTGTAGTTCTGATATGTGTTCATGAATACTCAGTAAGTCCTCAGAAATTTATTTTCAATTCATTGTCTGGAACCCTGAGACAATTTGTGTGCATGGACGCATGTGTTTTGGCGCTGGAGATTGAACCCAGAATCTCACGCATACCAAGTGTGTGCTCTGCCAGTGAGCTGCACCCCAGCCTGAAAGAGGCACAGTGTTGCTGTCCGTGGGTGTTGCGTCCCTCTGTCATGTGTCACCATGCCTGGCCTAGTGTGACTGTGACTGGTATTGTGGTCGTGATCCAGAGATGTGTTACTGTTTATCATTGTCGAGGTTTGTCATAAATCCTTCACATTTGTTGAAGGCAAAACATTTTTGATCAATAGATGTAAATTATTAAGTTTATATTTGAAAGCATAATTTTCTTTTCTACTGAATGTATTTTGGTTCCTTTTTAAGGTCAGTTTGTCACTCTATTTTATTTTTTATTTTTTTGTTTTTTGAGACAGGGTCTCACTATGTAGTTGAGACTGACCTGGAGCTCACTATGTAGCCCAGGCTGGTCTCGAACTCACATCGATCCTCCTGCCTCAGCCTCCTGAGAGCTGGGATTACAGGCATGAGTCACCACACCCAGCTGTCACTCTACTTTAAATGTTGAAATTATTTGAACCTAACCAATGACAAAGTCTGCAGAAAACAGAGGTGCATGTAGTCACACCCTTTACCTGCATGTTTGAGTAGTGTATCGCAGCTGTGAGGGCTGCACGAGATCTGAAGTAACGCATCCACACGCTTCAAAAACTGGACAGTCTTCAGAGTGCCCACCCTTGCTGCTCGAAGTATAGGAAAACTTCTCATCACTGTTTTCTCTGGTGATCCTTGATTCAAAGAGTTTTCAACTCTTTCTGGCCCTAGGGATGAAGCAATAAAGTCTCTTTGCACTCTTCTTTGTATTAGGGCTTTTAATAGGATGCAGATATTTCTACTTAGCATTAATCTGGCTGGAACTAGAAGACAGTGATGTCACATGTTCCACAGTCCTGTTTTAAATTCTGGTAAGTGAGTGACTTGTCGTGTAGAGGTAAATACTAGTGGTGCTTCTCATGGAGTTTCTACATGCTGGACAGTGGACAAGTCCCTTACTATCTGCAGGAACTTTAGTGTCCACTTTTCTAAAACGGGTAAAATACTTGGCTACTCCATAAACATGTGAGATGAAGTGTGAAAGCTTGGTGTAGTGATGAATTTTTTTGTTTTTTTTGATACCGGGGATCGAACTCTGCCCCTTGTGCTTGCAAGGCAGGTGGTGGAACCGCTGAGCTAAATCCCCAGCCCTGTAGTGATGAATATTTGGTAATGATATAGGACTAATGCAACATTTTTTTCAGTCAGTTCTGTTCACTGAATGTGTGTGCTTAGGTGTAGGGTGTCAGTGACGAGATGTGTGGGTTACACGAGCAGGTGACTATGTACAAACACCTTGTGCTTGGGAAACTACTTTCCTGCATGTGGTGCTGGACATTGAACCCAAGGCCTTCAACTGAGCTATACCCTCAGACCTTTCATTTTTGTGAGACAGGATCTTGCCAAGTTGTGCAGGCTGGACTTGTACGTGTTCCTGCCTCAGCCTTCTTGGTTAGATTCTGGATATTTTAGCAAACACTTCATTATGCCCAAATCAAATCCTCATATAATTGTAATATTGAGTAAAGTTAGGCTTAAAAACTCAGCTACCCTAAGGCTCTCAGAATTAAGTGGCTGAACATGTTGACAGCATATGTTGTAGATCATTATTTTAGTTTTCAAGTTTTCTTTTTCTTTTTTTTTGGTGGTGCTGGAGATCGAACTCAGAACCTTGAGCTTGCAAGGCAGCCAGCAGCACCACTGAGCTAAATCTGTGGCCCGTGGCTTTCTTTCTTTTTTTTTTTTTTTGGTACTGGGAATCGAACTCACGTCCTTGCTCTTACAAGGTAGACAGCAGAACCACTGAGCTAAATCCCTGGCCCCCATGGCTTTCTTTAATAATCAAATTATAGTACGACCTAACTTGAAAAATGAAATCATCCTGAAAACTCTGTTAAGGAAAAATTCCCTATTTTCACCTGTAAGTCCAACTACCATCAAGCCTAACATACTCCTTGTAATGTGAATCCCAACTTTAACCTGGCCGATTTACCTACTTGTTTACACGAGTATTCTTTCTTCTCCGGGCCTGTCCTAAGCCTGATTTGAGACCCTGCTCGAACCAGCCCCGGTGCCCTAAAGAGAGCAGAGAAATGAGAGAGTTTTCCTGCCTCTGTCTCTGGCTCACTCCGTCGGGAGTCATCAGTGTGCTTTCAGGTCTAGGGTCTGGGCCCTTCCGTGTGTTCAGCTCCGCCCTTTCCTGTGAGGCTCACCGAGCGTGGCACCACGCTTTCCTTTGCATTGCTGTAGCGTTGCGTTTTTGTTTCTGCCATCCCCAGCCACACTTTTACTTCTGACACCTTCGGGGTCTGTGTCGGTGCCTTCTCTCTGGCCTCTGCCGGGTAGGGTCACCAAGTCCTGAGTGGGGCTGAGCCTCGGCCCCGACTCCAGGCTCTGCACCCCGAGCTGAACCACCACGTTTTCAGGGAGGACGGGGAGCCTGTGTTTATGATGCACCTTGGGACATTTTGTGTTGTAGGTAGCAGCAATTACAGAGGCAGATGAGTCTGCAGATTCCGAAGGTGTAATTGATTCTCGTCAGCATAGAGAAATCCTTTCACGAAGACCCTCTTACAGGTGAGTTCATGACATTTCCTACTGAGTGATATTTTTTTTCCAAAAAAAGTAGCATAATTATAGCTCAAAGCGGCTGCTCCTGCATGGCTTTTTTCCGTTTTCAGTGTCCTTCCCACTCTTTAATTCCTTGCATTGTTAAATTCTGTTTTAGAAGAATCCTGAATGAACTTTCCTCTGATGTGCCTGGTGTTCCCAAGATTGAAGAAGATAAGTCAGAAGAAGGAGGAAGGTCCCCTGGCATCACCATGGCAGTGCCAACCAGCATATACCAGACTAGCACGGGGCAATACAGTATGTATGCGGGCTGCCCGAGGCCCGAGGCCCGGCATAGCGTTAGGTCTGGGCTTCTCCCGTACCCTGCTGCGGCTCGGGTGTTAGCAGCTCACTGTTCCATCTTAAAATGCACCCCACGACCTAAACTGTGTATCGTAGAGTGGGGAGCACTTGTGAGGGCGATGAGAGAGTTGGACCAACAGCTGTGATATACTTTTTTCCCCCTTCAGTTCTTTCATTGGTACATTTTACATCCATCGTTGGGAACTTGTACCTTTACATGATGTCTCTTGGTTCTTCTTTTTTCCCCATTCCTGACCCTCCCTGATATACTTTTGAAAAGTAAAAATTGTTATTGCTGAATATAGAAGAACATTTGGGAGTAAAAATAAAAGGAGAGTTTTCCCCAATTATATGTTTATAGTCATTGCAAGTAAAAGCTTAGGGTTTCTGTTGTCTTCATGTTGCATGCAGACACATTGGTCTTTCTTTCTTGTTGGCTTTTGTCACTAACATTACTGAACTAAAATAGGTGTATATGTTTTCTAAATTATGCTTTAAGTCAAATTCTGTTTCTACTCCCCTCTACTGTGTTAATATGTGCTGCACTTTTGCCTAAAACAGAATGAAAAACTGATTTAATTTTTAAAATTTTAACAACTAGATTTTATTTGAAATTTTATGCACTGAAAGCTCTAAATAAACAGATACATTCACAGTTTAATCTTGCGCATTTTAATGGACTGTTAATTCTTCGCTTTTTGCTCTAATTAAAGCACTGGGGTTTTTTTGTTTTTTGTTTTTTTCCCCAAGTTAAGAATATTAACACATGAGAGCTAGAAAGCAGTATAAAGGGGAGAGGAGAAGATGAGGGAAAAAACTTACTTTGGTACTGAAATATGTGTGATATTCAATGTTCAAATAAGGTGTTCAGATATTACATATATTCTGTTTTACTTTAAAAAACAGCAATACCTAGAAAAGCCTCAAGTCATTAGGGCCTGACTGTTAAAACAATTTAGGGCCGGGGATTTAGCTCAGCAGTTCCACTGCCTGCCTTGCAAGCGCAAGGACCCGAGTTTGATCCCCGATACCAAAAAAAAAAAAAAAAAAAAAAAAAATTAAAATTTTTCATATATGGGAAGATCTTAT